GAGTTAGGGTGATCTCTTGGACAAATCACCCCTTAGGTCGCCACGATAGGGTCAGCACGCAAAGGGAGGGGCAAGGGGAAACTAGAGGTTCTCCCTATGGACCGACCCGTGATGAGATCCTATGCCCGGGCCCATAACAAGACCTCAGGGTGGTGGTGATAAAGATGGTGGGAGAAAAGATGGCTCTCATTCCCCATAAGCTTGAGCTCTGGTCCAAAGATCTATGGTTTGAAGTTTGGGTTGCATTGTCCATGGAAGCAAGGCGAGCAAGGTGGACGATGATGACATGGCAAAATGCTGGACACATGGTGATTAAACCGCTGACCCATTGTCCTGGAGGGAAAAGTGGTTCTGTTTCTAGGTTGTTTTTCAGACATTGGTGAGAATATGTTATATGGTTGGGGTTTCTCGGGTACTCAATCAAGTTTGTAAACAATGACCTGGATTCAGCTAGAATTATAATTTGTTAGAAAATATGGCTTATGTAGAGCACAATGATGTGACAGAATTCTTGGTAATATGTTGAGTTGAGAAATTGTTATCTAGATGATTCAATGCCCTATTTCAATAGAGTCTGTTGATAATAGGTTATGTGGCCTAATATACTAAATGTTACAACAATGTGAAGGATTGCTAACACTTGGGAGTTATGGCAGGGGATTTGCTGAATATATGGTCGGTGGAAGGGATTCAGCATACCAACAACTTTGTAATGAGATCACAGTAGAGTTCAATGATTGCTCTAAACATGTAGGCTGTTGAATCTGATGAAATAATTGGTTCATCTCTTCTACCACATCCTATTTAGCAAAATTTTTTCAACATACATGCAGGTCCTTGAAATGGAATCTCTGCTTTTGAACCCTGAATACTGCAGAAATGATCTGGCTCACCTTTTGAGACTTGTTCAAGAACAGGAGAAGCAGAAGTTGCATCTGGTATTTGTTCTTCTTTCACTTCATCCTTTTACTATTTTAAATGGAGAAATGTCTAGGATCTGAATTTTATAAAAGGTAATTATTATGATAGAGGTAAAGCCATGCATGTTGCACATGCATTTAACTGGGATATCTGCATGTAAGAGATTTGTTTGGATCTTCTTCACTTTTTGCTCCTGTGCGCACTAAGAAATTAGGGTTCCGGACCTCTCTTGCACACTGATTGCTTAGTGCAGCAAGTGCAGGAAAATAGTGCATCAGATCCCAACTCTTGCAGTATTTCCTATGTTGGGTTTAAGATAACATAATCATTTTTTTATCCATTTGCCCTTTAATGTTCTGTGGAGAATTAAAATATGCAGCACCTCCCAATCCCCCAGAAAAAAAGAGAAAAGAAAAGAACATCTTTGGATCAAATGCGATGCTATACTTGAGTTTCAGAAATATGTTCCTACTTCATTTGGATTACCTTGACCTTTCATGTCCTTCCAACTATTATGTGTAATTATTTATGTAGTTTCCATGTATTATTGTTTATTTGGTTGCTTCACTCTGTATTAAACAACTCTGCTCTTTAATTGTGGCATTTTCTTTTTTTTTTTTTCTGGAGAAAATCCTAAGGTTGTTTCAATTCATCAAATCATCCATTAACAGAGGCCTTACAAAATCATTATAGTTTAATGGTGTAATGGGATTGCTTGTGATAATTGTGTTTTATAAAAATCAAATAATAATAATAATAATTGAACATGTTTTAGATGATTGTGGAAACCCTGAAGTTCAGAAGCCCTATCACTTTGCTAGGTATACTACATGACATGGTTGAATTGGCTAGGTGTATTGTTGCTTCTATAGACTTTGTGAGCCAATGATCTGCTTCTTATGATGTTTATGATCTGCAATGGTAATTCTTTGTCCTTATTGTTGCAGTCCTTTAAGATACCACTATTTGTTGATACAGTGTAGCACCTCTGGAGGGAGTTCCAATCTCAATCAAATGCTTTCTCCCAGTCTTAGTGCTTGTCCAAGCATCAAGAGGGGTTGATGTTTACCTCTAGAAACCTGGGCACAGGGACATGGCTATTAGTAGACCTGTTCGTGGGCCGGGTAGCCCGATGGCCCGGCCCGGCCCAGCCCACACCCCGGTCGGGCTTGGTCATGTAATTAGGCCCGCGGGCCTGACCTCGGGCCTAACACAGTAAGCCCGACTGTGTTTTGGGCCGGGCTTGGGATTTGTCAAAAAAGCCCAGCCCGGCCCAACTCAACATTATATATTTTATAAAATATATAATATGTATTTTATATATTATATAAAATATATAAATAATATAATATTTATTGAAATATATATATATATATTTATAATTTAATATATACATTTTTTATTCTTTTCTTTATAATTTCTCTCTCTCTCTATTCAGCCGCTTCAGCAATAGTAACAGTATGGGCTAAATTTTGGGCTCGGGCCCAGGCCCGGGCTTCGGGCTTTTTATGAGGGCTGGGCTTGGGCTCGGGCCTTAGAAAAATCTGTTAATACAGAGTGAAAATCCGGCCCGAGCCCGGCCCGGCTCGGCCCATGAACAGGTCTAGCTATTAGTCATTGAAATTCAAATTCTGAAATGCCGCCAGAAAAAGGATTTTCAATACAACTAGCATCTCAGCACAAATCTTTTGTTCAAAAATCTGTTCCTTCTAAATGTTCCAAAATAGAGCAAACAGAGCTTAATCCAAAGTAATGTTATTTACATATTAATATATTTCAAATTGTTACACATATTTCAATTCCAATCAATAGCTGCAAAATATAATGAAAAGACTAGATCCCATAAGTATTAACTCTTAGAATTTGGATCTCCTGATCTTTCCTGCACCATTCAGTCTGACAGGTATCCCATTTTTTTTTGATGAATGAAAATACTTTATTAATCCCATTTACACGTATGTAAATATCCAAGTACATGTAATGGTACCTGTCACAAACTGAATGGAAGTGCAGGAGGAGATCTGGACTAGAACCTTTTTTGCCTACTAAAGAAACTCTTCATATAAAGTTAAGTCTCAAAGTTGTTCTTAAGATCTTCAACACTACATTCTTTTTTCCCCTACCTTGTAATATGATCTATATATTTATAGAGTTCTCTGATTCCTTGAACACCGTACTGCAGTTAGCAGAAATCCTAATCTGAATTAGGTGACTTAACTATGTAGACCATAACTAAACTACTTTGCTTACTGGTTCACCAATAGAGTTTATTCATCAGTCATTTGATGTTTGTCACAGCTATATGGGGTTTGGCTACATGAATCCTATTTTGCCATTCCCTTCTGTTTAGTTCCATATTCATCGTTAAATTATGAGTGCTTTAATCGGTTCTTACTACTTCAACCCATGTCCTTATTGGTTGTAGCCTCTTCAACTAGCAACAGTCTTATCTCATTTTATCACATATTGGATCCACTTCTAGGTTCCTTTTAAGAATTTCATTTCTGATCCTATCCTCTCCAGTTTTTCTACTTATCTGTCTCATCTTACGCATTTCTGCCACACTCATTTTTAGGACATGTTTCTTGACTGCTCAATATTCTGCTCCATTAAAGCATTGTTGGCCTTACAATGGTTGTATAGAACTTTACTTTTAACCCAAGTGGTATTTGCTTGTCACATAAGATTCTGGATGCACCCTTTCATTTCACCCATCCTACTCTATGATATCCTCTTCAATCTCTCTTATCTCCCTTACTATGAATTACCAAACCAAGGTAACAGAAAAGGTAACATTGATTTATCTCTTGATCTCTGATCCTAAGTTTATCCTTCTTTGCACTCCTATTATCATTAAGTTTACATAGCATAATTTCTGTTTTGGTCATATTTATTTTAAAACCTTTTTGTTTCTATGATATTCTCTATAAACTTAATTGTTCTTTTAATTGTTTGTTAGATTCACAACTAATACAATGTCATCAGCAAACAACAGACACCATGGGATGAGTTCAAATAATTAAGATTTAAGTGTTGAGCCTTGATGAAAACCCATCACAACTGTAAAATCTGAAGTTTCTTTCAAGGTTTTCTACCCATATAGCATTTGTTCAGGTTTAAAAATGAAATTATGGCAATTCAATGAATTCTTTGTGCAAAACTGCAACTTGTAGGTTGGATAGTTGTGATTCAGTGGAGCTCACTGATATCACTTATTATCTAGTTAGATGTTGGCTTAACATGTTTCCCCATGCGTGGGGTAGTTGATATCTGTGTCTGGGAAAATTATATGCAACTTGTACAACTAGCATAGGAGTTGTTACCTGCAGAAAACAGGTAGATGCATACACATGGCACTAATTTTAATCTGAATTGAAAAATTGTTTGGTTTTCTTTTCTAGTGAATACAGTAATATAACCGTAGTGGTAAAACTATTATTTTTTATGACCATATACTTATCTGGTTGCATGTTTGAAATATTCCCTTGATCGTTGGGACAATATATTTGGCATGCTTTTATGATTGAGCTATTGGAACTGTATTTGTTTGTTTGTTTATTTAGTTATTTATTTCTTCATTTATTTTGACTACCATATTATCTTTCTAGAGTATTTCATATGCTTTCTTCAAATCATTAAATATGATGTGAATATCTGTATTCTTCTCCCAAAACTCTTCTGTCAATTAGCTTCAATAGTTGTTCTCCTTAGCGTGATAGCAAATTGGTTTTCTAATCACTCTGGCTCACAAGATCTCATGGTAACTATTTGAACTTTATATATAGCCTTTGTTTTTAAATATAGACTAGCAATTATTTTTTTTGTGGACAGTATGAAGCAATTTAATCTGAAAAACAGATATAGCAAAGATGTAAATGTTGATAGGGATTGCACAACTCTGAATGCCTCTAAAACTATAATAATTACTTTTAGAGGTGTATTGGAGTTGGTGAACATTCTGAAGTCTGAATGTAGAGAATGTTCTAAAATATGAATGCTGAGTTCTAATAATAATAATAATAATAATAATAATAACAACAACAACAACAACAAATATTAAATAATTAATAAAAGTAATAATAGTTAATAATTATTATTATATTATATTATAATATAATAATCAATAAATTATTATATTATTAATTATTACTGATATTAGTAATAATATTATTAATTAATATTTATTATATTATAACATAAAATAATTTATAAATAATGGAATTGATAAAATATTATAAATAATTAAATATTTTTGATGAATTGAGTAATTATTAATTAATTAATTAATAAATATTTAAAATAAATAACTACATTATTAATTAATTAATTATTGTAACTAACTATTCATAATTTTTATTCATTATCTAATTCATAATAATCTTGCTTAATTAATTAATTAATCATTTTTAAAATAATTATATTATTCATTACATTTATAATTAATTAAATTATTAATTATTAATTAATTACATAAATTATTAACTAATAATTAACAATTATGTTTTTATAATTAATTACTTAATTTTTAATTAATGAAAATGATGAATTATTAAGTAATTTAATGAATAATAAAATAATTATCACTAGATAATAAACAATTAAATAGCATACATAGGATTTCAAATTGTAACATACATAAAAGAAGAAAGCTTTTTTGAGGGTAATTTTTGAAAAACAAAAAGTGGAATTATCCGAAAAGAAAGGATGGATTAGACATTAAGGCTGAAATACAAACGCATGAATGCTTTTCATTCAGCGTTAAGAGGCAACGAACAGACATTAAGATGGTTTGGTCATGTGTAGGGTCTAATAGAGCTAAGGCCAGGCCAAAATAGGTATCGTTTGAAGTAGTACAAAATGGTTTGAGAGCCCATAATCAACATTGAATAAGAAAATGATAGTGAACAGAGTGAAATGGCCAAACAGGATGTAATTGGGACAATGCATATTGAGTTGATTATTATTATTATTATTATTGTGTTTTCAACTGGTTTGTTTTTATTATCTTTGCTAATTCTTACTTGTGATTATGTTGCATGAAAATTTTATATGCCATTCATGCCGGTTGTCTTTTGGACGAATATTCTTTCTCCAAGACTGCAAAAATTCAGGTTTTGAAGAAAATTGGTCGTCCATCAGAACGTATTGTCAGTCATGAACACTGTAGATTTAGGAATCTAGTAGAACATGAGTGTGTACATGTGCATGAGATAACAGAAGCTACTGGAACAGAGGAGGCGGAGGCAGATGCTGATTATGACAATGCTCTCAAGGAAGCAATCAGAGGGGTGCAAGATGCAGTGACAAGTATAAATGAGTATTTAGAAGAAGTTAGGTATGAGATTGACGCCCTTGAAGCGTATTAGCACCAAAAAATTCAATTTAACATACATTATTCATTTATAGAGGAATGGAAACTTTGAATTCTATACTCAAGTTATATACATAAACTACATGGATATTAGTTTATATTTAATATGTTTATCATGTAATTTTTATTCTATAAATTTCATCTATTTCCCACTAGAATAAGTTGTTGGCTCGGTGGTAGGATTAAACATTCAGGTCATATTTGGGAGTGCTTATATTAAAAATAAAGGTTTACTGAATAAGTGTTTAAAAACAAGTGTTTATTCGAATAAGCACTTATTTCATATCGAGTGTTTGGGGCCTTTTTCTCCAATAAGCTATTTGTTCAAAAAAATAACTTTAACCCTCGCTTTGGCTTGTTATGTTTTTTTCTCCAACTCTACCAAACTTTCTAAAATGACCAAATTACCCTTTGGGTTAAGATTGATGCGTCTATTCACTTATTAATGACTATTTATTTTACCAACAAATAAACTTTCCAAAATGATCAAATTACCCCTCAGGTTAGAAATGAAGGGCATCCACATATTAATGACTTTTTTCTTGTCAATTAATAAAATTTCCAAAATGACAAAACTATCTCTCAAGTTAGTTCTAATCAGAATGATGCACCTTATAACATTTAATGTAAATGAATAAAGTACATTTTTTATTCATGTTATCAAGATGTGTTTTTGTGTAATACCCTTAAACTGTACACATATAGGATCGTGTTCGTTTAAAATCTTCATAGTTGTTGGATAAATTTAGGGAGATTTATCCTATTAAAGTTGACACTGATGTGTTGTCAAGTTGGTTGGGGTAGCTTGTTTCAGCTGCTAGGGTGATACCTGARGTAYATGCAATGTGGGTTTTCTTGAAACTCTGAATCAGACCAAAATTCCAGTATTGTCTTGGACCTTGGAGATTGATGGGCAAAATTAGAATGTTACACCTGACCCCTAGACTCGATTATGATGCTACATTAGATGTCGGATTGAATTGTCTTTGATATGCCAATCAATGAGATTCTTAGAGGGATCAAAACCTGGGTATGTTGGGATAGTCCGAGAATTCATCTAAGTGGGTGATGATCGTGATAGGATCATCCCTTTTGTCGGACAAAGTGAATGATCGGGGATGCACTCTCTGATGGAAATCAAAATTGTCGGTAGTGGATTTCAACCGTTGAAATTTGTTTTGCAAAATATATTTATATAGAGATATACTTATATATATTACGATTTCAAAATGTTTGCAAAATGTTTAATTCCCGGAATCCATGTGAGTAGAGAGTAACACTGTTCCTCAGTCGAGGGAGCGGTCCTCTTTTGTCGAGAAGTGTTTGATCATTATGGCCTGAGAGGTTAAGTGTAAGATTATTGAAGGTAATACCTGATGGGCTAATCTTGCATCTGCCCATAGCCTTTGGGTTTTTATAAGGTGGCTTGACCCAGAGACCATTTAGTGTAAATGTTGGGTCCATTAAGAGCCCATGGTGATGGATTCAGGGGTTTACTGTCTCATACAATGAATTCGGCCAAGCCTTGTAACAGAGGCTGGGCTGAACCCATGTGGCTGATGTGTAGATCAATGTTTGGGTCCCACGCTATACAAGGATACTCAAATGGGCGGTAGTTTGGAGGATAAGTGAACACATTGACTTAATGGGCCTAAACCCCAATTTGAACTAGTTTAATATGATTAATTAAATAATGATGGTTATGAGATTTAGATCAGTAGATAGAATAAACTATTGTCCCTATTCACTCAGAGAGTCCAGATGCAAATAGAGATTTGGATAAGGAAACTGTTAATCAGATTAGGATGACTGATTTTTATTTGTAGATAAGATAAGAGATTATCCTTATCATTTAAAGTGAGTCCAGATCCAAATACAAGATTTGGATTAAGAAACTCCTAATGGGATTATGATAACCTCTCTTTAAGGTTATAAATAGAGGAGAAGGGCGAACCCCAGTTGATTCATTGGATTACTGATACAAGAGAGAAGACAACATACAGTTGAACTGACGCCATCTTCTGCTCTTGCCTTCTCATGCTTTTGCTGCCATTGCTAGTTCGATCTCCACTTGTAGGAGCGATCAAGAAAGGTTCTTGATATTAGTTTTTAGGAGAAAAATTGATTTGAAGTTGTGTTCACTCGCCATCCATCAGATTCTTGGTGAAGAATCAGGTTCTTGCTAAAGAACTACCTTGTTGATTCTGCTCCACCCTACGCTGTGTCATTTTCAGTGGGAGCAGTATTTGATGATCTTCTTGGGCGTGAACACCTTCATTGGGAGTTACTACTAGTCTGTATCAGGTATATCCTCTCTTACCTTTTGGTTTCAGATCTGGTCTGGTTTAGGATTCAAGCACGTGCCTGTGGCATTACCGACTTGGCCACATCAACATAGATCGTATCACAAGGTTTAGGGCTGTTCATAAGAAGGTCCAACCCGACCAAACCGACCAACCCGGACCGACCCAACCCGAGTCGGTTGGGTTTTCATCAGCACGGGTTGGTTTCGGGTTGTGCAAATTCCTAAACCGATGATTCGGGTCGGTTTCGGTTTTCACACAAGAAAACCGAAACCGACCCGAATTGAACCGACTTAGTTCCTACTTCAAACATGAAGTTCCAAAGCTCATTAGGCCACCGAGTTTTTGAATGGTTGCAAGAAACTTTGGATTAGTGAATAGTGATTAATGAACAACTTTTGTGATTAACTTTTCATTTAAATTTTATCATAGGAGATGGCTGAAATGATGTTCAATTTATGATTGTTTTTAAAATTAGCAAGATTTTATTATAGGGATGAACTTAGAACCGAAACCGACCAAAACTGACCCAACCCGATTCAAACCGACAATGTCGGTTTTGCTTAACACTAGGTCGGTTTGGGTTTCTATGTCAGGAAACCTGACCAGGTCGAGTCGGTTGGAAAAACTGTAGTAAACTGACCCAACCCGACCCGTGAACAGCCTAACAAGGTTGGTAAAGGATGTTCCTTTGGATTTTCTAACTGTAGAAGATCTTCCAACCTGTGAACCTTGCCTTCAGGGTGTTAGACAGTTTTGTATGCCCTTAGCTTCAATCCGATTTGATGTACTTTTGACATTTAGTGTAAATAAATAAAGTGCATGTTTGATTCATGTTGTTTTGTATAATTCTGTGTGAGACCCTAAAACTGGACACTTATAGAGGCTCGTGTTAGTTTTAAATGTTCACAGCCATTGGATAAGTCTGGGGAGATYTATCCTGTCAAGGCTGATACTAGTGTGCCACCAAGTGTTGGGATGGCCTGTCTCGGCCACCAGGGTAAGACCCAAGGCACATGCAGTATGGGATTACTCGAATCTTTGAACCGGACCAGATTTCTAGTGTTGCCCTGTACCTTGGAGACAGATGGGCAAAACTGGAA